TCCAGGAGTATTCCAGCTGCGGTGAAGCAACGGACTTCATCGAATCAATGAAGACGATCTACGGCCCCACAACAAAAAGGATCGCGCCGCTTCTCAGCACCGATGGATAAATCGCAGATTCTGAAGCGCCGGGCCGAGCACTTCAAAAGCCTCCTCAACCGTCCCTCCAAAGTCTCTAAAGCCGTCATCGATCGAATCCGTCAGGTGGAAACTAATGATGATCTGGATTTCTCGCTTTCTTTTTCTGAAACCATCCGCGCCGCGCACAAACTCTCTTGCGCAAAGCACAGGGATCAGACGGGATTCCAGCCAAAATCTACAAGTACCGCGTTACGCGGCTGATGGATCACCTCACAATACTATTTCTGGAGATATGGCTCTGGGGAAATTTCCTCGGGACTTCCAGTATGCAACAGTTGCTCACCTCTACAAGCGGAAAGGGAACTGATAATCCTGTGATAGTCAAAGAGAATTCCTGCTAATAGTATCGCTGGTAAGATCGTCGCCCGTATTCTCCTCAACCGTCTCAATGGCCATCTCGAACATCTTTTCCCGGAAAGCCAGTATGACTTCTGCCGTCACCGCGGAACCACCGACAAGACCTGCACAGGTCGTCCGCTGCAAAAGAAGTGCTAGGAAATGCGTTCCCATCTTTACGCTCCCTTAGTAGACTTGACAGAAGCCTCCCACGGGCTGTGGAAAATCAGACAGAAATCCGGATGACCTGAACGACTCACGCGCATGGTGCGTCAACCCCAGGAAGGGGCGACGGCGCACGTCGCGAACAAGGCCGTCTGGCCTGGAGAAAAGGGGTAGAAACTGGAGCAGTGATCTATGAAACTATCAAAATCAAAGGAGCGGATTGCAAGTTGCAAGCGCCTCTTATCCACAATACAAACACCCAAATCCTTCCAACCTTCCCCACGCTCCCAACGAACATCCTGCGCACGAATTGGTCTCATTGAACGTCTCAGGAACCAAGGGCAGCGATAACCCCAACTGTTGACTCTACAACCACCGCAATGATCATTCCGTAACGTGATCGGTGGCCGCCACTCCTCCATGATTAATACACTCAATCACAATGGACAGGAAGACGGGCTCGTGGCCCAATGGTTAGGGGCGTTAGACTTCTTACTAATAATTCGTGGGATCGAGCTTCAGGTGTTCCACACTTTAGGGTTTGGTATGACTGCCTGACGACGACTAATAAGTCAGAAATGGCCATTCCAGTCTCCCTTGTCTTTATTGGCAATACCATTCTACCTATATCATATGCCGCTGTGCGGCTGCTGATTGGGCTCGGGAGAGAGCCCGAAAGGCATAACGGGACAGGTGAGTTCCCTAGAAACGATCGGTGAGCGCCCCTCTACCCTAGTATCAGGAGTCCCCACAAATACTCGCCACATTCACCTTCACTGTCCTCACTGTCCACGCTCGATCACTCACCACATGGGCATATTCGGTCACTTATGAGTCCACGATAGCGGAAGTCGCCGCAATGTGGGCGCATCAAGCATACCTTGCACAGCCAACAGCCCTCCCATCTTTAGCCGTATCCATCCACCAGCCCTACTACCACAAGCGGAATTACAGCCCTGATCGACTCAACACCTTCCAACTTATCCTGCCTACACTGCCACCGCAAATGCACATCACGCGTCAGCCTGCTCAGTCACATGCGAATCCATCACAGAGAAACTGGCTTGGAAGGCTGCCACATGGCGAGTAACTCGGGCCTCGCAGTCAGTCCAGTGTGTGTTTATGTGGAGTGGCCGAATGGTGGACTGAGAGTCAGATTGCAGTGGCTCCTTCTTGATGTGACCTCTATGACACCCGGCCGCAATGGGACCCGAATCGACCTGATGGCAGGCTTAGGTACGGGTTTTCGCCATGCCAAACACCTGCACCCCTCCCTCCTCCGGTCCTCTTGACTCTGTCATGACAGAGGACCCAGGTGGAGGGGAACGGAGTGCGGTAAATGTTGCCCAAGTCCACTATTATTGCAAATTGATTCACGCACCATGCTGCGGAGCACACGATGGGCATCGTCGGAAACGACAGTCGAACTGTGAGATAGTGGTGAGGAAGATTTGAGAAACTTCGACCTCCCTAATCCTCTTGGTGGATCGCAGTCAAGACTGCGTCAATATTTCTGGCAGGAAGATGGGGTCTGGAGACTGAGCTGTCCCAGAGCCCTCGCTCACACGTCTCACAACATGGCTGGTTAGTCCGTGTGGCCTAATTCAAGCTACGCATACTTAAATTTTCCAGGTGAAAGTTTAACAGAACCACAGGCGAATGAAATAAAGAGTTAATAGCATTACCCCGTTTAGGAACTCAGCGTTTATATACCAATGGTTTTGGCGTAATTTAATGTGGGTGAATATAACACAAAAACACACAGATGATTATCTAGGTAGAATGGCATTACCGAAAAAGACAAGGGAGACTGTAATGGCCATTTCTGGCTTATTTGCCGTCGTCAGCCAGTCATACCCAACCCCGAAGTGTGGGACACCCGAAGCTCGAACTCAGGACCTGTTAGTTATAAGTCCATGCCTCTAATCACTGGGCCACGAGCCCGTTGCCCTGTCGGTTTTGATCATGCGTCTCTCTGCGGCTGCTGGTTGGGCTCGAGAGAGAGCCCATAAGGCACAAAGGAACGAGTGAGTTCCGTAAGACCGATCATCATCAGATGATTGTTTTTTTAAAGCACTTCAATGACCTTCCTGATGGTATCAGAGAAGGACGTTTTGCCAAGTTACATAATACTTAGCAGAATCAGCAAGTGCAAGCATAATTTTTGGCCAAAAGTAAATGAACAAAGCGAAATGCTGGTACCATAATCAGAGTAGCGTCTGGCAAAATAGCTGACAAGCGAGATGAGGAAGATCATCAAGAGTCAGTCGCAAAGCATCTTCTGGATATCTACCATATTACGGGCTCCAAGATGTTGCTCGAGGTTCCCTTTGATAAGAAAGTGCCCAACTTCTATGCCATTCATAGACCGCAGCAATACGGAAGTAAAAGCCTGTACCGCGCAATGAGTTGGTTCAGGTGACTCACCTTTCTGTATCAGCCAACTCAGGTCAGGCCCGCCTTAGATCTGCGCTTCAAGCTGCTTATCCCCTATCCCACCTGACTTTCACGTGCTGTTTTTCGAGTAGCGGTCTCCTTCTCTCCTGCCAGGTCCACATGATATTCTATGTTATCTTAGAATGGTATGCCCACCGAGCTATGACCAGGGAAAGGCTGCTAGCTGTTGGATGAGATACAAAGCAAATTAATGGCGTTTCTAGATACCCTTTAATGTTTAAACTTAAAAAAATTCGAGGCATGCCTGATAAGTTATGTGTCAAGGATTTTAGGTCGGGCATGTGGTGGAAGTCCGAACAACATTTAAAATCTAGCCTCGAAAGGTACATTGCTAGAAGATGGTGCATGGGGGACCAAAAATCCCGCTAGCCACATTTTGGCGTTTCTGTGTATTATAGCGTTGGAAGGGTACTGAAGTGGTCTCCATTTCCAAATCGGAATAGGCACAGGAATTTACTGAGGCTTAATACTCCAGCACAAACATTATCATGGCGGAATTTCGACCTAGAAGTTTACCAGGGAGGGTCAGCGTGCTCTACAAACACCCACTCAAGACAGTAACCAGCATATCTGTCCAGGCGGAGTTTCAGCAGACGGTCGTCCTCGCTCAAAATACAGTCAGCCTCGACCTTACCAACATTCCCCTCCGGTTTTTATCGTAACGCTGCCTGTTCATTCTACGGACGTGCGCTCTGTTTGTGAAACTTCTATGTCCGAAGATGTTCAAGTGCCATACTTTCTCTCTGTCTTTATCAATTTGTATGGTGAGGGTTCGAAGGCGACAACGTAAAATTCCAGAATACATCTTGATTATTTCAGAAAACTTCCCCTTCTTCATTATGTCAGCTCGGAATGAATATTTGTTTCAGTTTCAGTTTATTTGAGGGAAACATAGGTGTTGAACCTGTGAACTCCCTATTTACCACAGAAAAAGATGTCCCGTTTTGGGGAGGCACATGTTCGTTACTTGGTTGGCACTATTCTGATTAATACTTTTTGGTCATTTTTGACAGAAGTCATCCCTCAGAATGTACAGGTGGAAATTAATCACACAAACAACTGCACACATGAAGTCTGCCAATCACGTTTAATGTCGGAGATCCACGCCTATTGGTTAGATTGACTTGATCGATATAGAGCCTATTCAAATGGCATCAGCTGCCTGCTAGGAGTTTCTACAGATCCACAGACATGTCAGGGCGATTTGCTGAATACCTTTCCGAGGCCAAGCAGAAGGAACTCCGGGATATCGCTAATGCGATCGTCGCCCCTGGCAAAGGTATCTTAGCTGCCGATGAAAGTGTTTGTAAGTCAGGATTTAAAGCACTCGATGAGTTTCGCTCACTTTAGCAACCATCGGAAAACGGTTCAAGAGCATCAATTTGGAGAATACAGAAGAAAATAGGCGGTTATACCGACAACTCCTATTTAGCACCGATCCCTGCTTAGCCAAGCATATTTCCGGAGTTATCCTTTTCCACGACACTGTCTACCAAAAAACGGAGGATGGAACTCCACTAATCAAGCTACTTCAAGTAAATCACTGAGCTTTTTTGCCGAATGATTAGTCATTTGCAAATTCTACCGCATGTAGTTATGATGGCAGTTTGAAAATTCTATTCCTAGATTTATTTTATCGGAATTTTATCACACACTTTTGCAGGATCGTGGCATTATCCCCGGAATCAAAGTCGATAAGGGTGTTGTGCCTTTGGCTGGCACCTGGGATGAAGGAACAACTCAAGGTCTGGATGGTCTGAGTGAGAGGTGTGCTCAATACAAAAAAGACGGCTGCCACTTTGCCAAATGGAGATGTGTGCTGAAGATTACTGAAAGGACCCCATCGTATCAGGCCATGATGGAGAACGCCAATGTGTTGGCGAGGTACGCCGTGATATGTCAGCAGGCAAGTCAAACTTCTTTGCGAACTTTTGGTTATGTTGTTCTCAGACAATCGTGGTGCCTTATGTATTCTACTTGACTTTAGAACGGAATCGTCCCCATTGTGGAGCCGGAGGTCTTGCCTGATGGAACCCATGATCTGTACGTTGCTCAGCGGGTCACTGAAGAGGTACTCGCTTGGCAGTACAAGGCTTTGGCTGATCATCACGTGTACCTTGAGGGCACATTGCTCAAACCGAACATGATCACCGCTGGCCACTCATGCAGCCAAAAGTTCTCCAAGGAGCAGAATGCCCTCGCAACAATCCAAACTCTGCAACGACGGGTCCCAGCCGCTGTACCCGGTACGACAGTTCCCAATATACTTTTTGACTGATGTTTCTGAATCAGTTAACGAGATTTTTCTGTTTTAGGTATTGTCTTTTTGTCCGGAGGTATGTCAGAAGCAGACGCCACCTACAACTTAAATGCTATCAATGCCATGCCAGGCAAGAAGCCCTGGGCATTAACCTTCAGCTTTGGAAGAGCTCTCCAGGCCTCCGTCATCAAGATCTGGCAAGGCAAGAAAGAGAATACTCAGGCCGCCCAGAACGAGCTTTTAAAATTGGCTCAAGTAAGCCGCCAATACTTAACACATCTCTCATTGAGTCTTTCCTTCGCGAGTCATGATTGCTATGGGCCGTTGAAGGTTACTTTACTTGGTTCATGTTTTTCGCATCCTAGGCCAACGGTCTGGCGGCATTGGGAAAATTTGAGGGGACTCTGGAGACGGCTGCTGGAGGACAGTCTCTCTTCGTCGCCAATCACGCATACTGAGTGGTGGAGACTGTTTGGCCTTTTCCGTTTTTGCGGAACATATTTCGCATTTCTTGTCTGCTTGTATCTATGCACGTGAATGGTATATTGATTTAAAAATGAAATCATTTAGTTTCGGCAATCCGCTGATTTTGTTCCTTCAGTGTATTTGTGCGGAGAACCTCGTTGTTAACAGTACTGACTGAGGGGGGCGCGGCAAGTAATAATTCAGGCAAATTACACTTGGTGGCTGCTTCCAACCTAAAACAAAACTTTACTTCAAATTAGTTGTTGCATAGGTCCTCTTGAGTGCCTGGCACATGGCGTGATCGAAACGGGGGAATCAGATTTATAATCTGTATGCAGGCGTGTCGAGATATAACCAGGATAAGATTGGTGACTATCACATGAGTCGACACAGTCACAGACTCAGGGCGGAGCTGATGGACTTCCTAAACTTAGCTATGTACTGTTTGTCCCCTCTTAACTCCGTCACCGGACTCAGGAGCCAGTCAAAACCTTCAGTATAATAAACTGCTCCTTCCGAGGCTCAACTTTCCATAGCTATGACAGGGCGGTCATGGGAAAATGGTGAGCCGCTTGGATGCATCGGTGCGAACTGGGTGTGGAGAAGGCGTACACGATAGCTACAGTGAGTGACCAGTCTCATGAAATGTTGGCCGAAATTCTGAAATGCGCTTCCGATTTAGAAGGATTTCTTAGTTGGGGTTGTAATACTGATTATCATGCGACATAATCCAGCAATATTTCGGATTTGTAAGGATGTCGGCTTTGAATGCACTTCTTTTTGATCTCCTGCGAAACCCAAACTCAGTAAAAATGGCTACTTAAATAGCATGCATTTTTCGCATTGATTCTCGATGCTCTTATAAATTCCAGTATATTTTATAGAAAACATGCACAAAACTATGCTTTACATTTTATGCTTGAAGATAGGGTATATTTAGGGGTTTAAAAAAATTTTAATTATACGATTTTTAAGAGCGCGCAATGTGCATTCATACAGCATCGTACCTGTCTGTTTACCTGTCTGTTACCTGTCTGTTACCATTGTACAACATAGTCCGCACTCATTGCAAAATTTCATGAAATCTAAAAGGTATCTTCTTAAAGGCATAGGGAATAAATTATTTTCCTTACACGGAAAGCATGCGCCTCGTAGAATGAAATGCTAAGCGCTAATGCAACCACTGATCTGGTTTAAAATTATCCGGGAATTGGAAAACTTTTAATAACCTAAATATACCCTGTTTTAAAGCATAAAATGCATGCAATTTAAATAGCCATTTTTTACCGAGTTTGGGTTTTTGCAGGAGATCGAAAAGAAGTGCATTCAAAAGCTGACATCCTTACGAGTCCGAAATACTACTGGATTATGCTGCACGATAATCAGTATTATAACCCCACCTAAATAATCCTTCAAAATCGAAATCGCATGTTCGAATTTCGGCCAACATTTCATGAGATCGGTCACGCACTGGAAGCTTTATCAGGGAACCAGGCTCCGCTTCCGTGATACACGAAATTGTAAAACCAAAAACTGGAAAACCATACCACAGCACAAGTAGTACTCATCCAAGCCAAAACAGAGTTCGACTACCTCTTAAAAAATCTATAGAGGTGATTCATGCTTCGTATAGTCGTGTCTCTGAGAGGATGAGAGGAACCCCACCACAAGGAATTGTCGCATGGTTATACCGTGCCATAGGTTTGTAATGAAATGTCCCACAGGTACTGTTTTGCGCACGTGTTTCAAACCGTCAAAGGTCCGAGAAACGCTGACCGAATGAAACGCTTGTTTAGATTGACACCGCCTGCCTTTTTTCGTTTACCCATGGACAGTAGGCAGTGTAGAACACACTGGAGGGATAGGATGAAACAATCTGCTGAAAACTCACCAAATTGTCGACAGGGACGCAGCTCGAGCGTTAAACTAACCTGGATGCGCCCATAAATGATGTACCATCTGGCGATCCGGAAGAGGAAACTGAAGGCACGTTGCTTTCACTTTTTGTGGGTGTGTACTGAATAGCGCTCCGCTGCGTCCAAAAACTGAGTAGTACTTGGGCCGAAAAGCAGACCTCATTGGGGTTATTAGTCCCCTGGCGAAGGGAAAAAGCCTCTGTTGCGCGCAACAGCGCATTGCGCTGCTATAGGCTACATTAGACTGCTGAGGTGGATAGCTTCAACCCGTAATTTGTGAAATACTATACACGACCAAAATTTGTCATTTTCTGGAAGAACGCCGTTCGGAACTTTCTTTCGATAATAGGTTAATATTGAGAGCCTTAGCGAAACAGTGTGTTTGTCGTGTCATCAACCTACAGCAGGATCATGCATCATTATTCACCACTATCTTGCCTCCCAAACCATAAGAAGGAGAGCGGAGCTGCAAAGGAGGGCATTCAATGCGGTTGAACGCACAAGCAGTTGATAACAAGGACATGCGAGCCAGGCGTGAGCCATGGACGCGTCCAGCGGACCACCGACCTTTTGTAGAGTCGTTTTGCTCCTCGCAGCGGTGTCCGTCATCACACGAGGCAGCAACTCAGTCCCTAAAAGATGTACGCACCGTTAACTGCGGTGCCTCCGCTGACGCGCCTGGGTGACCTTGCATGTGACGCCTACAAGGACGTAACGCCCATAATGACGAGGACAGAGCCTAAACTGCTATTAGGTCAGTTTAACTTTTACTGCGGCAGTCACAATCGTCCGCTGTATAGCAACATCCATCCTGTCGGGCACTGATTCACACGCAAATCTGATTGTCGGACAGATTTTCCGTGCAGCTAAGTTGGGCATCATATGTCCACAGCACGAACTAGGCATGTGAGTACTAAAGCGTGAACTAGCGATGTGCATCTAGTGCGGGCAAGGAAGAAAAGGGACATTCAGTAATTCTGACTGGTCATTGGAATGTGAAGGACAACAACATTCGGGCGCTAAGTAAGGATGGAACGACGATGAGCAGAGAGACTGCTAGGTACATTACTCTGATAGGTCCACCTCTGTGATGAAGCCCGCCACACCTACCATAATACATGATGAAATTTTATACAGAAGGCGGTATCCGATCGTTCGCGTATCCACTCGGCCATCAAGACCGAATCCTAGAAAACAAATTTGGTTTTGAATGAGACGCGATCCTCGTCAACCCGAACTCCTTTCTACATCGACAAACAACGGAATATTACTGCAAACTACGGAAATACAAATCTCAGCCAGACAGAAAGCATGCATGCTCGGCGGACTCGAGCAGTCGACCTGATGAACCAACCTGAGTGCCATATTCTTGTATAATGCAGTAGTTTGAATGTGTTGGGTCATCAGCCGCTGTCAAGAAGCGTTTAATCCTCCATGACCCGCAGCTAGGTGACTGTTTCTTGGTGTTATGGACATATTTTACAACCCTGTGGCGGTCAAGGATGTGAGATCAACTTAAACCACGCACAATAAGTTCGTTTCGTCTACTGTCAGAAGTCAGGGAGCTGTGAGGACTAGTTTATTCTGTACACAGGGCAGGTTGCCGTAAGTTGGCGATTTGCTTGCAA